TAACTGGAAAACAGTGTCAAGAAAATTCGAGGCAGCCATATTCGTGGTCAGCTTGAAATTCTCTATCGAATGGTGTATAAAAAGTGCAAAAAAAATCCACTTGAAATTTGACTTATCTGCATCTTACTATACGAGAGAAACACTGTGTCTCATAAATTCACCTAATGATGCGGAAGTGGATCGAAGGTATGGACATCTACAAAAATTCATTGGAGTTGATGAAGATACTTACATTAGACAATAATGAAGTTTTTTTGATGCGAACAATCGCTTTTTTCTTCACTTTCAGAGAGACGGTTAGCAGCATCTATTGAGATTTTAACGTTATTTATGAAACTGAATAATATAATCCAAGCTATTTGGTGATGGCAAAAGCTTTTTTTTCTTTTATGTTTTGCATTAGCATTTATCGAAAACGCACTAAAACCGCAGAAAAGTAATCGATATTCGCTTTTTTCGCAATTTTGCTCTGTTTTGGATGTTTATGTTTCTCTCACAGATAACACTAAAACGTCATTGTGTACTTCATTGGTAGAGCAAACATTTTCCTACAAAATGAGATATTCGACAGCTCTAAGTACTTTTATAACTGATTTGGAACGACTTTGCTGGATGCCCTAACATTGATTATTAATTGATGTATGCCTAATCCCGATCGGGATACGTTTTTATATCCCAATTGGGATATATACTTTCTCACGCCTTTATGAAGGTAAATGATATTAAGGTTAAAAAGTTGGAATCCAGTGTATTCTGGAACCCAATATTACCCAATATTATTGTATAATTTTATTGAGTGGCCAATATTATTGGTCCCGTTTTTCATATTAAAAAAATGTGGGACCTTCTTTTAAATCCCATGTAACAAAAGCTTGTAGATGTTTCTTTTAATGCAAAAAGAAAAAGAGAGTATAAAAAGTCATGAATTTTTTTCTTTTACGGTTCGTGTGTTAGACAAAGTGTTAGCCCTCAAAGGGTTCCATAATCACATCCATAGTTTGATTCATACGATGCTTCACAACTTCGGGAAATAATACTACCTGTTGTACCATTTTTTTTGTAATCGTAATCTAATTCTAATGCTACACATTGTGCATAACTAATGCTAAATGCTGGATATAAAGGTGTGCCATCCGTAAAATATGGTGAACTCGGTTGCTTACTTAAATAAATTATTCCTGATCCTTGCCCAAACCACTCATACCAAGCCATTGCGAAACATTGTAATTCATTTTGATTATGAACAATTGGAAATTGTATTGTACGATTTTTGAATAAATCCGGTAATGTTGTAGTATTATACGATGTACAAATATTTGGATTGTAACCATAATTTCCTGTGACAATAAATACACACCGATCTTCTGTTTGATAATTAATGGAAATCTGTCGAATAAATAGTAAACTTAATGATAAGTTACTTAATGTAAGAACGGGTAAGTCAACACATTCATAACATATAGCAAGTTCTTTTGAGTAAACCTGGTGATCACTATGCAGTTTAATAAAAGCTTTACCAATAAACAGGAAGTACTTTGGTTTTTGTCAAGGTTTTCTAGCAATCATCCGAAGTCCAAGAATGTTTTTCACCATTCTGAAGAAAAACATCATATTGAGCAGATAAAATACAGTGCACCGTGATATTTAGACATACCTTGGATGGATGTTGACCGGGTTATGAATTTTTTAATTTTACTCAAAAATAGACAAAAACGTTTTATTTCACCTACTATAGGTTTTCACTAGGTTTTTGACGCTTTTTTGAGAATAAATGTTGCCATAAAATTGAACGTGGTCGATTATCTATGTTTCTAAAAACAAGCGAAAATCCGAAAAGCGAAAGTCTCTAGCGCTTATTGTTGTCCCGTTATTACCATGTACCGTATTAGGGTACATCGAGTTATGCAGGGTTAAATTAATGTTAATGACGCTCAGTTTAACAAGAATTAATATCTTGTCTCCTAAAATAAAAGCAGTTGAGCGACACAAATATCTATAACCGTCAAATAATTGCACACTACCCTCTATGTTAACGAGAATGTTTAAAGCTAAACAACACTCACTCTTTGCCGTCGTCGATCTATTTCCTTGAGATCAATACGAATGACATGTTCTATTTCATTTTCTCATGGCAGCTAACATCAGGATGGTTTTTCTACTATCCAGTTCTTCGATTTAATTTTCTCACGAAAAAATATTATCATTTCTTATCTAGTTTTAGTTTAAAAATTTATTTTGTTTTTTGTATTGTTAAGTAACACAGCAAAGTCTTCTATTTAAAATAAAATATCTTTTTTACATATTTTTAAACTTTTTTTATCTGTTACGATTCTGTTGTAATAATTAACAAAAGTAATCAACATTTTTATTTGAATAATGGCACAGAACAATGGTGACATACGAACCGCTGAATCAAAACAACAAGGAACACGGTAAGAGAATAAATGTTCAATTAAAAAATAGAAGAGCTGTTTATAAATATTTATCTGTTTTACATTTGTAAAGTGAAAAATTAATATTATGCAAAGATAAACAAATACGGCATTTGTCTTGTTTATTGCATATAACAGTAGTTAGAACAATATTTAACTTTGAATTACTAATAGCATAGACTTGAAGAGATGTATTACTTTATGTAAGGTGATGATACTATTGGAGATTATTTAAGGAAATATGTACGGTGGTAGATATATTTTTTGTACAAGCAGCTGATCATAATTTTTTAAAACCAACAACACCGACTTGTATATGTTGTATGAATCGAATCCACATAAATATAAACTACGACTGATTAAAAGCTTAGTCATTAAAATAATGCAAATATGTTCTACTTCTCAAAGTATAAAGGCTGAAATTGGGCGTTCGAAAATAATTCGCACATCAAATGGCTATCCCAGCATATAATTAAACGAAGTATTAGACAAGGAAAAGCTATTACGAAACGTATTCTACAGCAACAACTGCAGCCTCCCTAGACATTGATTCTTATATACGGATCTCACAAGGCACTCACAAGCAACATACAAATACTTATCAACTTTTTATAAGATTCTTGCAAGATTTGCATATAAGATGTTGCATAGAAGTGATAATAAATTCACTGGTTCTTATAAGGCTTTTATAAAGATCTTATAAGATATTCGTAAGAAAGTAACAAGCCATCTTGTCACTTTCATATGAATCTCTTATAAGAATCTTATGTTCCTTATCAACTTCCTACAAAATTCTTATCTGATTCTGACAAGAAAACTGCCGTGATTTTTTCAGGCTCATATCGATATTCTAGTGTTTCCTTATTCAACTTGCTGCTTTCTATAAATAGGTCTGGCTTCGTCTTTAGACTTAATTACACTATGTTTTTTCTCGGACTTTTCGTCCAGAACATGATGCAATCAGTTTTTAGTCTTTTCGACTATCTAGCACTCTCACTATGCCATAATCTTTATCTACGAAGGAAAATAAGTCATTTTCAATAGAAAGCTCATGACACTTCAAAGTAAATACACAGTAATTTTGACTTTCAACTATTCACTCCACCCTTTAAAGTCATCAAGTTATCTTTTGTTACACTGTTGAATGTAATTTTTCGATAATTTGTGGTGTGTTTGTTCGAGAAGAATTTGTCTCTCTAAGTTCGTGAATCGGGTTTACAAAACTAGTCACACCTCATCGACCTCGATCGGTTTGGACCGCCCATGGTGCACCTACTTTTATCGGTGGAATGCTCTGAAAAACTTTTTCTATATCAGTTTTGAACGCTGATTCCAAAAAAATAAGTTTCAAAGTTCCATCCATGTAACACAACTTCAAAATTTGAATCTTTCGATAGAGGTCGTTTTTTTCAGT